GTCTCTGTGTCACACCACCAGCTCCTCCTCTTTTAGGCTGACAGCTCCCTCCGTTTCAACAGCATCACTTCCATCTTCACACTCCGTGCGCCCCCTTCTGCCCCCAAACCGGGCCTCTCTGGTTCCTGCAGGCGCTGCCAGGCCCCTCGGGGAGGCCCTTCTCAGCTGAGCTCTTGTTCTGGAACAAGGACTGAGTTCGCTGCCTCTTCACCACCGGCTCTTTCTGTTTTGGGAAGGTGGGTTGGTGTCCCACTGCTGGTGGGTCCCCTGCTGATCTGCAGCTGCTAGAACTGGGCCCAGCTGGAGATGGCCAGACCTCGCAGGAACAAGGCAGGAGACTGGGGGCCTCTACTATGCAGGGGGATCCAGACGCAGGAGTATAAATGGAGGGCGGGGGCAGTGGGCAGACTGGAGAGAGCGCAGGGACCTTCTGGTTCCAGCTCCATCCTAATTTTTTGTGTGACCTTGGTCTTTGTGCTCTGGGCCCTGACTCAGTGCCCTCACACAATGAGGGAGAGTCCGATGAGCTCATGCCCCAGGATGCCTAGGTGCTGATCCGGCATTGCCCCGTGCAGCCCGGCCCACGGTTCCTTTCACCTTTGCACACACGCTCGGTGGCCTTTGATGGATGGACGGGAAATGCGCCGGCAGCCTGGGGGTCAGGGGAGCGACGCAGCCCCTCGTTCAGAGCCTCTGAACGCCTGTTGACGGGGACTCGCCTGGTTGCCCTTGGAGATTCCTGTGCGGCTCTGTCATCCTGGGAATGATTCCCCTCTCCAGGAAAGGTTATACAAACCAAACTGACCGGGAAGAGAGTTCCCATCTGCCCAGCAGTCATCTTGGAACTGCCGGTGGCCATCTGGGCATGAGGTCAGCAGACGCGGAAATTCCCCATTTCTCTCTTTGTGTTTCTTTCCTCCAGAAGCCCAGGCTGTCCCTTGGGTGGCTCCTCTGATCTCCAGAGAGGGTTTTCGCACAGTAGACTGTTTCGTCTGGGCTCCCCCTGCCCACCCCCCGGCAGCCTATTCTGTCCCCCGCCCCCGGGCTCTGCCCAGCGAGGCTGGAGTCGAGGAGCATTGCCCTGCCTGCCCCTCTTTTGCTTCCCCTGACCCTGCTTCCCTGGTGGCTCCCCAGGGCTGAGGGTGAGCCTGAGCGTTGCGTGGTTTGGAGGATGTGGAGATGGGTTTCAGTTCCTGTGTCCTGCATCCTGCTCTGTGCTTGGCTTACATCTGGGCATCTCTGAGGGAGCATGGCTGTGCCAGCCCTGATCCTAGAAGTGTATGGTCGTCCAGAGTGCCCCTGGTCAGCAGGTCCCGGCCAGGCTCTTGGGATGTTTGCATCTGGCCTCTCTGGAGGCAGGAGCAGAGGCAGGGCCTCCTGGTCCTCTCTGCCTTTCTGCTCTGATTAGAGGTTTATTGAGGCTCCATTCTGGACCACTCTGAATAGACCTTAGGAGACAAGATGGACTCGGCCCCTGCTCTCATGGAGTTTCTAATCTACTGGGCAAGCAAGATGTGGAGTAAAAACATGTCTCACTTATCACACAGCGTCAACCGTGAGTTCTGTTAGGGTGAATGTGGAGTGCTGAGCAGGAACCAGGACTCCTGCTGCCACTATCACCAAAGGTGGCTGCAAGCTCCTTCCAGCTCTCGCTCTCCCTGTTTGTGAACTTGATTCAGCCCTCAGTCGTGGCTCGCCTTCCAAGTGCCAGACCTGTGCTGGTGACAGAGATGACTAAAGCACGCTCCTCCCTCCAGGAAACTCTCAGTCCCGTGCGCAAACGCTCACACCAGTCAAGCACACTCCGTACTGTACCTGGCAGTCAGTGCTTTGCTGGGGAGGCACATGAGGAGAGGGGGGAGCACAGAGGAAGGACCCCCGCCATGTCTCCCAGCGTTTTTGAGCACCTTGCTGTGTGCCAGTCTTTGTGCCAAGTGCTTTACCCACACTGTGTCTTGATCTGCTGAACACTCCAGTGCCTGGTTGCTCTGCTCTGTAATGTTGACCTTTCAAGGTAAAAACAAGTCCCCCTGGGAAGCTGAGTGATGACTTGTGTCGGCAGGTGGACAGCTGTCCTTTCCTCCATGGGGCCCAGAGGGTGTGGGTGTCGAAGTGTTGTTCATCTTCTGTTTGTCAGTCTTTGGGGGAGGGGCCCTGCTCGCCGGAACGGTGTTTTTCTTTCTGGCCCACGTCATCCCATAAGGGCAAATAAGTGAGGGGGAGAGAGGGGCATACCTCAGTGTGTCCAGCTCAGTGGTCCTGTGAGAGTACGCTCTGGACTCAGACTGCACTCAACTGTCTAGAATCATCCTGAATGGAATGTTAGAGAAGTAGGAGGAGATGGTGGCAGGGGCCAGTAATGGGGACCTTCAGGGCAAAATCCCTGTTATTTCTTGTACTACCGGGGCTGGGGGGACAGTCCAGAGAGGGCCCCTAGCCTGGCGTCCCCCTGCAAACGGGCTTGAACCCGCCGTCTGCCGCTCCGGCCTGAGTCTTGATTGGGGAGCTGTGAGAGTCTGGCAGGGGGTTCGCTCAGCTTTCTCAGGCAGGCAGGGCTGCGTTTGCGTCTTGGCTCTCTCGTGCTGACTGTGTCCAGTAGTCCCCGCTTATCCGCAGGGGACACCTTCCAAGACCCCCTGGTGGATGCCTGAAACCACAGATAGTACCGAGCCCTATGTATACTGTGTTTTTTCCAGTAGTAGTTACGTGTTTGAGGTGTGCCAGCAAAACTAGCGTGAATTTCTGTTTTTCTTCTTCACAATTTCATGAATAGAAGATTCATTCTTACCGTAGATCTTAGCAACCTCAGCGTATGATTTTTTTTCTTTCCTTATTAGGTCAAGAACTTTCTCCTTTTCACTTAAAGGAAGCACCTTACAGCTTCTCTTTGGCATATCCGAATCGCCAGCATCACTACTCTTGTGCTTTGGGGCCATTATTCAGTAAACTAAGGGTGACTTGAACACAGGCTCTGTGATACTGCGACGGTCACTCTGATAACCAAGACCACTGCGGGGACTCACAGGCAGGTGGCGTACACAGCGTGGATGCTGGGCCCAGGGAGGGTTCACGTCCCGGGCAGGATGGAGCGGACGGTGTGGGATTTCATCACACTACTCGGAACGGTGCACAATTGAAAACTCATGAGTTGTTTGTTTTTGGAATTTTCCGTTTAATGTTTTTGAACTGTGGTTGACTGCGGGTAACCGAAACCATGGAAAGTGAAACAGTGGAGAAGAGGGGAGTGCTGTAACCCTGGCTGAGTTATGTAACCTCGCTGAGCCTCCCTTATCAAATGAGCATAACTAAGTATGGATCTTGGGGTTGTCGTGCAGCTTAGCTGAAGGGATGCTTCCGAAGCGTTTAATGCAGTGTCTGGCAAGCAGATGTTGAAGGAATGGTGGCTGTAGTTATTAGTCCTTTTTCACTCTTTTCTCTCAGTGAGCTCTGTGTGGGTCCTCGAAGGGCCTTTGAGGATTCCTGACAAACAGTTTTTGCCCTGGGGGTGGTGACTAAGTCCTTCTGAGGTCCCCGGTGGAGGCCTTTGGAGCTCTTTCGTGTTGGCGAGCTCTTTGTAGGGCTGGAAGCTGGATCAGTTTTTCAGCCTCAGGGCCTTTGCACTTACTGTCCCCTCTTCCTATAATATTCTTCCTCCAGATATCTGTGTGGCTAGTTCCCTCTCCTCCTTCAGGTCTCTGCTAAAATGAAAGTCCCGGCCTCAAACTTTCCTGCTTAATTTTTGTCCATAGATGGTTTCATCACCCCTAATACTGTGTTTACCCACCTATCCGTCTGTAAGCGCCATCAGAGGTTCATGTCTGTTTTGTTTGATGATAATTTCCAAGCACCTAGACTAGGACCCAGCACAGAGTAGATGCCCAATAAATAATTGTTGGATGAATGAAGGAGTGAGTGCAAGAAAGAAGTTGCTCTGCAAAGTCACAGAACTAGGATTCTGAAGTCACTTCACAGAGTAATTTCAAATGAAATAAAGCAGATGAGATTGAACAGACTAATGCAGAACACCTGCAGCACGGGTAGATCGTGGTTCGATGGAAAATTCTTCTGTTCATTAAAACCGGAAGGGACAGACCCTACATGATGTGAGACTGAAGGAGGAGGGTGGCAGTGTCGATTAGTCTATTAAACACAGTCAGGGTTTTTCCTCCTCTTCTTTCTTTTAAAAAAGGCAATGTGCATGTACATGGAACTTTGGATTGGATTGACTTGCGTATCCCTTAGGGCACGAGCATTTCACTGTAGAGATCACTGATTGAGTGTAAGGCTTTCATTTCCCCTCCTCAGAGAGGGGAAGGGTCTGCACGATCCCACAGTGAGTTGATGGATAGACCTTTTATTCATTAAGTCAGTGTTTATTGGGCATTCATGTCACAGTTAATACCATGCTGGGTGCTGAGGATGCAGTGAGCCAGCATCCCTCTCCTTTGGGACCCCATCGACAGGATATGAACTCAACTTGTTTCATTTATTTTTTTGGTGAGGATGATTGTCACTGAGCTAACATCTGTGCCATCTTCCTCTATTTTTTGTGTATGGGAGGCCACTACAGCATGACTTGACAAGCAGTGTGTAGGTCTGTACCCGGGATCTGAATCCGTAAACCCTGGGCTGCCAAAACGTAGCATGCGAACTTAACCCCTACGCCACCGGGTTGGCTCCATGAACTCAAGTTTTTTGACTCCCAGTTCAGTGCTCTTCCTGTACTCCACATTGCACCTCACAGTTGATTGCTGTTCCAAATGAACCAGCAGTGCAGTGAGGCTGCTAAAAGAAATTGATGCCATTCTTAGGTTGCATTAATAGAGGCAGAGTGTCCCGATCAAAGGAGGTGACTGTCCTGCTCTGCTGTACGGTGGACAGACCAGCCTGAAGTGCTGTGTTCTCTTCTGGGTTGTGGGGACTGCCTTCTGGGGCACTGATTGACTAGGATGCCTCAATGGCCCGGCCAGCCCCCTGATATATTGCTGTTGTCCTTACAGCCAGGTGGGCACCACTCCAGGGGCTGAGCCACCCTCATGGAAGGGAGAGGACCATACCGGATCTACGACCCTGGGGGCAGCGTGCCTCCGGGAGAGGCGTCGGCGGCTTTTGAGCGCCTAGTGGAGGAGAATTCCCGACTGAAGGAAAAAATGCAAGGGATAAAGATGTTAGGTAAAGCAGACCGTGCACTCTCCCGCAGGCCTTGTCCCTGCAGCGCCGGCCACGTGGGCCTCTGCCCCAGCATCCCTCTGTCCCTCCCGGTCCCACATTGGCACCTGCCCTGCAGCTGGGTCTTCATGCTCTTCTGTAGCGTGGTGGGCCCTTTCCCAGCCCTGAATCCCCAGCACCCCAGAACCGCGATGACAGGTCTCAGAATACTGTGAGGGGCCAAGAAGGAGGCGTGGAGCTGGAGAGAGGGAGCTGGAAGGCCCCGTTTGTGGACATGGAAACGGGGGGGGGG